GGCTTTTGAAAATACACTGAGACTACCGACTGCCAATTATAGGCTCAACGAAAGAACGAAACAAATTATTTTTGACAAACATTGTTCGACTGCTTCTCTACAGAAATCATTTTTTCATTTGACTTCTAAAAAATGGAATTCACTGACCATAATTTCGCGCAATTTAGAAAAATCGAAAACAGAATTCAAGAAAAAATTGAAAAAATTTTACGTGAGTGAATTGAGAAACAATCCTATATGTACTAATACAAATACGTGGCGTGATTACCGTTTTTGCTAGTTCTATATTTTTTAATTCAGTTTAATTTTTCACACATTGCTTGAAAGAGAAACTGTATATACTCTGCATATACGTTGTATAATTGGACTATAGTAGTAGTAGTAGTAGTAGTGTAGGCTTTAGGATTTCTCCATGGGTTTTGAACCCTCGTTTATAAGTTCATAATTTTTCCCGGTGGGTTGCAGTTTCCACACCAGCAAAGAATTCTCCACATACACAAGTTGTTTTCTGCAAAATTTCTGTTGAAGAATTTCCAAAACGTGTTTGTTATAGATATTTTCAGGCTGTCATAATCTTGATTTTCGAAGTCCACAATTTGGCTAAAGTAGTTGTATAGCGTAATAGAACGTATATAATAATTTTCATTTGACTTTTTCAGTCTTGTTGCATGAACAGCAATCTCACCACGTGTTGCTTGTCTCGTTCGTGATTCGTTTTTATGAATAATTGTATTCAAATCAATGTCATGTTTATTTTTTAGTAGTGAAACTAAGTACAATATGTCGTGTAATTCAAAGTACATTGAGAGTGGAAGGAGCTTTAAAAATTTCAGTCTTTCAGTATAACTCATTTTGAAGTTATTTGTAATCCAAGATGTCGCTCGTTTTTGTACTCTTTCTAGTTGTCTTAATTCTGCTTTGTTCGGATACCATGTTTGCGATGCATAGCTTATGATTGGTACGATGTATCCGCAGTATAAGTTTAATTTTGACTTTAAAGATGTTTTTTTCGAGATATTTCGTTTGATTTTGTAAAAAGCTCCCATTGCTTTTGATATGCGATTTTCAGCATTTACTGACCACGAAAGGTTGTGACACATTAAAATACCTAAGTCTTTTTGGGTCTTTGCGGTATCAACATTTGTATTAAATAGTGTAACTTCCATTTTCCCTTTGAGGTTTAACAAATTACATTTATCTTCATTCAGCGGCATTTTATTTTCTTTGCACCATTTTTCAACATTTGCCGTGTCTTTTTGCAGATGAATTTCTTCAGTAGACAAGATCTTCATATCGTCACAATAGCCAAAACAATCTGAATTCTCAATGCATTTGGGAAAGTCGTTAATGAATATGATAAAAAGTAGAGGGCCAAGAATTGAGCCCTGTGGTACACCGCTAGTTACTTCTTTCAGAGTTGATGAACTTTTATTGATTTTCACAAACTGCATTCTATCTGTTAGATAGTCTTGTATTATGTCTTGTATTTGAATGCTTAGACCTATGTTCCGTAGTTTGGCGACTAGGATACTATGAGGAACTTTATCAAAGGCTTTAGAAAAATCTAGATAAAGGACTGAGAGTGTTTGAACATTTTTGTCATCGTAGAGTTCATATACTTTGCTCAAAAATTGTACCATTTGTAGTACTGCTGACCTTTTTTGCCGGAAGCCGTATTGTGCGTTTTCCAGGAAAGGTTGAACTTTGGGGTATATATTATCAAAGATAATTTTTTCGAAGACCTTCGAGGCGGAGCATAAGAGGCTAATTGGGCGGTAGCACTCGACTGACGCCTTGTTCTTTTCTTTAAAAATTGGGGCCACTTGACTTGTTTTCCAGTAGGTCGGGAAGAGCCGCTTGTTAATGAATGTGCGGAAGAGAAGATAGAGCGATTTTGACAGAGTTTCAGAAAGATTTTTTAGGATTATATTACCTATACCATCAAAACCTGACGCTTTATTTGTTAAAAGATTTTTGAGAATGTATTGGATTTTGGTTTCTTCAATGTGTATTTGTGTACAGATTTCTTCTGTAGGAGAACAGTTTGTATTTCGTGCGAGAGGGTTAGGAATTGATTCCTTTTGATATACACTGATGAAAAATTCGTTAAAAAATGTAGCTTTTTGGGTGTCATCTCTTGTGGATTTTTCCTTGTAGAACATTTTTTGGGGATATTTCCTGGAACTACTTATTTTGTTCAAGTATTTTGTATTTTTGCAGGTCACTGAATCGTCTACTGCTTGTTACTGTTTCTTCGTAAATTGCTTGATCTGCAGTCAATGCTATTTGAAGATTTTTTTCCAGTTTTTTGTGTTTTAGGATAATGCTTAAATTAGGTTTGTTTTGCCGATCGATACGCCGTTTTAAGGTTTGTACTCTTTTTAGCATGTGAGACGTACTTGGCTTCACCCATGGGGGGAGAGTTGATCTGTGTGATGTAACCTTGGGTACATTGTTCTTTATTTTGTCCCATAACCATGCATACCACTGACGAAGGAGCTCATTTACATTACTGTAACAATACGGTATGAAAGGTTTGTCTTTTATTTCTTGATTTATTATCTTCCAATCGGCTCTGTTAAACGCCAGACTTTCATCTTTGTTTATTTCTTTGATACTGGCTTCCATGTTAATTGTTGCAGAGTAAGCATAATGATCTGAGCAGGAAACTTTGTCGATGCTGTATGCGTTTGTTGCTGAATGGTCCGTGTGCCAGTTGAGTATTACTCCAGGGTTGTTTGTTAATAAAACATCAAGCTGCTTTTTTTTGGAGTCGAATAATTGTTCATAGTCAAGTTCAATGAGCTTTTTTAACACTGCATTTTCATATTTGTCCTTTGAGTGCATCATTTTCCAATGAGTGTATTCAAAATTTATATCTCCCGTAATCGACACTGCGTTACAGTTGTATTGTATTTGTAATTTTGTTAGGTTTTCGAACAAACTGATGAAGTTTTGTTGTTTCCATTGGTATTTACTGTTTTTCGGGGGATTATAAACACAGCAGAGTATTTGATGATGCCCAGTTTCACCTGTTAGTTTGGCCACTATGCATTCTTCATTTTCTATTTGAGCATCAATTTCTTCGTAATGCACATTTTCTTTTATCGCCATGAGTACGCCTCCGTGATTGGTTTTTAAAGTGGAGTTTTTTCTATCTTTGCGAATTATATTAAAACCAGCCAAATGCAGAGCTTTATCTGGTATTTCCTTTACCAGCCATGTCTCTGTGAGACATAGTATATCGTAGTCTGTTTGTAAAATGGCATTTGAAAGAGCTATTCTTCTGTTGATGTCTAAAATACTTCTGACATTTAGGCATAACATTTTTAAATACTTGGCAGTAGGTAGTCAATTGCTTTCTTCGACTTTTTTCCAATTTCCACTTTCTTCGTCATATTGGTAAAGGACAAGGTCCCTTAGCCTTAGGTTTTTAGCTGATACTCCAGTTTCTATCATTGTTCGTCTTTTCATAAGAAGTTTGTTCTCAATCAGAAATTCACTTGGGCTGAGCTCTTTTGACACAAAGACAGTTTTGTCGTAGTTTTTCAATTTTGCCAAGGACATTAGTATCAGTCGTTTTTGCCATTCATTTGAAACATTTACAACTATTGTGCGTGGCCTTTTTCCTTCTTCGTATTTTCCTAAACGTTTTAAATCTGTGATTTTTGCTTCAACTGTTAAGAACGCAAACAGTTTGTTCACCTCTTCCAAGTCGTGTTCGTGTCTATCTCTTGAACTTTTTGAGCCCAGTTCAAGCAGTCCTCTTATCCGGATTCCGTTATAGCTTGATTCTGGTTTGTTTAAGGCAGGTTGCTTTGGCTCATTTCTGTTTTGTGGTTTTTTGCTTGTTTCATCTATCTTTTGCTTATTGTTCCTAATTCTTAAATCTTTAATTTTCTATAGTATCCGAAACTTCATATACTTTAATCAACCAATTTCCGAACTGTAACCGATTTTGTTTTTTTTTTGTTTTGTTTATTGCTTGTTTTCTGATGTTTTGTTTTTGTTTGATGTAACCAATGAATTTATAACCAATTTTATTATTTACACTTTGCTACACTGATGCCTCGGCTTTTTATTGTATAGTAATTCAAGTGTTCTTTCTTCTTCAGATAATTTAGATTTTTAAAACCTGAAGATGCAAAAAAAATGTCTGAAAACGTTTTTATGATCTTTACAATTTTAACGCATTCTCGAAGAATTAACACGCTCGTTGAGTTCAGAAGCAGGGAAGTAATACTTAAATAAGAGTTCCGAATTAGAAATTTCGACTGAATCAAACATATCTATTACCAGCATTCACAAACATCAAGTTCGAAAACAATTGATGAGAACAAAAGAAATAAAAAACAACACTTTCATGCAAGTCGAAAACTTACATGGAATTTCAACTGTTTCTTCAGAAAGTCTGTTCTAATCTGGAATCAAACTTAAAATGCAAATTCAGTCATAAGCAATATCAACTTAACTTTGAAATTTAAATGTTGGCTATCTATATAAAGGGAAAAACATCATTTGAGAAAATTTTTTTAATTTAAATTGAAGGTAAATTTATACCAGTAATAAAATATTTTGTAAATAATTAATTTGACTATAAAAATGCGTGAATTATACTTGCTTCATGTTATAAACAATAATTTAACCTTTAAAGTGTTAATTATTTTCAAGATTCTAAATTTTTTTGAGAAAAAGTTAAATTTAAGTTTCTATTAATTTGAATTGCAGTTCATCTGCAAGTAGTGATTTTCTTTCTTTTCTGTATAGCAAGTGGTGCATCTCTGTTTAAAATAATAGATTTTGCTGTCTTGGATGTCCACGATGCCTGTTTTAAGTAAGGACTGTGGTTTGTCTTCGGTAGAATTGGCCAGTTTTTTTTTTCTACAAACATTCAATGGATAATGATTCCCTCTACAAATTTGGTGTTTTGTGATTCTAGTGCAAGCCATTTTCTAGAAGGTGAAGAAGCGTAGTTTTCAGATAAATGATTAGGTAGAAAAATGGATTGCGTCTCATCAACCGCTGAGGAAACTTTAGATACGCTATCTGCAAACCAAGAAGGCGTTACCAACGCACCGAGTGACCTTACTGTTATCTTAAGCGCCGCAACGGTCCAGCACAGCGCTGATGATGAAAGCGAGGAGTATGAGTCAGCGAATGAAGGCGATACAGATGGGGAAGCTGCCGCAAGTGAGGAGGCAGTTGCTGCCTCAAAAGCATTGAATGTTTGTATCTCGTCGTCACCTACAAAAATGACTGACACGTCCCCTACGATCGACGCCTGTGCATTTACTACACCTCCCGGGCCTAGTAATCAGACGACATCACCGGACAAAATCGAAAATCCCGTCGACTATCTACAAACGCAGCTTTCACAGGCATGCTTTTTTGAATCATATAGTTTTTATCTTTCTAATAATAAGTTATTATTTCTCTGGTATAAGTTTAACATCATTGAAATTTTTAAATGCGATTTATGTAACAACATTATTGTCGTCAAGTTTTAAAAATATGCTGTCAGTATTCGATCAATATAGTGAAGCTAAGTTAAACTAAATGCTGACTTCTTTTTAGACAACAATAGGGGACGAAGTGTTTTCTGCTTGTGATACAAGAAGTACTGAGTTGCAAGAGGGACATCCCGCGGAAGAAGTAGAAACCAAAGAGGCCGAAGCTTCCAGTACAGATAACGAGCGTGAGGTAATTCCTGTGCTTCCGCGTACTGAGAATTTTGCTGGTGAAATAGCTCAGCTTGGAATTGGGTCGTCATCTGAAGCAGAAAAGCGCAACAATGTATCACTGATTGACTCAACGAGACCAGTTGTGACAAGTAAAGGCAGGGGAGACGAGTCTTCGAAAACGGAAGACTCAACAATGCCACACTCTTCTCCGGATGACCAAGAATACGAAGGAGAACTAGGTAGGATCTCTTAGTTATTATGATGAAAAAAGATGCCGGTGTACGCAGACAGCCGGCAACAGAGTATTTTTAATTAAAAAAAATCCGTTTGGAGAAAGTTCCGACTTGACATGCGCATCCTTTTTTTAAAATATTTATTCAAACCAGATATTCAAAATTACCCGCATTGAAAGACAAGTTAAAATTTTTCTTTTTTTTTTCTGCCTGAGTCCTCTCGCTTAATAATATTTGAGATTATCAAGTCATGTACCATACTTTTTGTTACGGCCATTTGAAAAATGGGGAGGAACTTTGTATTCGAGTGTGTTTTCGTTTTTTTTTCGTTTCTTCCACGCAAAATCAACTACCACTCAGTCATCGGAGAGAGTTGAGTGATATACCATATTAAAGCCCTTTCAGTCGTGATTCGAACGACATTAAAAAATTCCAAAACGTTTTCCCAGTGTCGAGAAAAACTGGTGTGAAATTTTTGATTTTTCGTCTTAATTCGAGCGAATACAGTCAGCGAGCAGGCTTACAATAGCTTATTTAAATGTCTTTACCCTTGCGATAAGCAAGGGCATTGCAATCGGGTACTAGACATTTTTCAGACAATTGGGTACTAGACAAGTTTTAGTTTTACTCGAGCAAAGATAGTTTTCTTGATTATTTTTAGCGCATTTTTGTAATCAGAAATTGAAAAAAAACTTTTAACTGCAAAAAATTTGGAAACTTTTCGATTTTTTTGTTTTCTAGTAATTTTTCTAGAAAAATTGTTTTCCAATTTGCTTCAAGTTCTGAATTTTTCTAAGCTCTAGTTTTCCGTTGATATTCTTTTATCACACCCCGCACAAAAACGACAATAATTTGAGAAAAAAACTTGTTGTATTTTTTAATTTGCAAAAAATCCTTGTTGTTATTGCTCCGTGGACTGCTCTGAGAATATCTCCGCGAGTTCTTCTACGACTAGTAGGGGATTTTTCCACAAATCTTCGATGGTAGCAGATATTGGGTTGGCCGGGCAGTTGAACAGATGATGGCAGTCTTCGATGCTGGAGTTGCATTTGCTGCAGAGCTCTGATTCAATGTCCGGTTGTAATCGGTGTCTGGTTTCGGCTAGTTTCCATGAGAAACCTGATCTAAGCTGACACAAAATTCTTCTGTCGTAACGGCTAAGTTCTTCTTCGTCTTTCGATATCTCAGGAGGGGGTCTTTTTAAGACTCTGTTCTGCTGGCTTTTGGCTCTCTCTTCGGCGACTGCATGTGTGTGTAGCTGTTTCAGTGTCTGTTCAAGATCGTCTGTTAGAAAACTAGCGACTTCTTCACTTGAGCTGGCATGCAATGTCATCTTCTTGTCTCTGTCGGTACTCTGTTGTCCAGAGGTGATTGCAGGGGTGGGTATCTTGAGTTGCTTGGGCTAGGAATTGGTTGTTGAGTAGGTGGTGGTGGCCGGCGACTTTAAGCATCTTGCATTCATTATGTAGATGGTCTATTGATGTAAGGCGAATGGCTCCCGTGGCTGTCCGTAAAGCAGTGTTCTGGATCGTTTGTATTTTCTGTTGGTTAGTTTTACTGATTATTGGTGTCCAAGCAGGCGAGGCGTAGTCCATACATGATCTTCCGATGGCACGATAGGTTATCAGTTGTGTTTCTTTATCTTGCCCCCAGTCAAGTCCTGAAAGCGCACAGCGTGCGTTGTTTCTTCTGGCTACTTTCTTGCAGACGTTGGCTGTGTGTTGTCCGAAGGTCAGCATGGTGTCGTATGTCACTCCCAGTAGTTTCGGTGTCTTTTCAAGCTTCAGCTGGGAGTTGAACATAGCAACTGGCGGGTGCGTCCTGGCTTGGCGAGGGTCAGGCGTGAAAAGAGTGACTGTTGTCTTCTCGAGGGACACTATTAGTCCGTTGTTTTCCAAGAAGTCGTTGAGTCGAGAGAGGTAAGACGTTATCTTTTCACTGGCGAGGTCAATGTTGTTGCTGGTGATGTAAACAATCATGTCGTCGGCGTAGGTCTTCAGTCGTGTCGGGTGGTCTGGAACAGGCAAAAAATCCTTGTTGTTCAGACCATTGAAAATGGATATGAACTTTGTATTCGGGTGTTTTAGTTTTTTTTTCTTTTTTTTCCTCGCAAATTCAGGTGCCATAAATATTCATCGGACTGGTTTGAGTGATATATCATATTGAAGCCCTTTCAGTCGCGATTCGAACCACATTAAAAAAATTTTCAAAATGTTTAAAAGTTTTTCTAGTTATTTTCTACAAAAATTTTTGTCCAATTTGCCTTTATTACTATGACTATCTAATATGCCCAAGTTATATTTTTCGGTCAGATCCTTTTATCACACCAAGCAGTAAAAAACTACACTAATTTTGTAAAAAAAAACTTTCTAAACCATATTTTTCGAAAGACTATGATCGGAACATTCTGTGCTACTTGCTAAGTAACCGGCCATCCTTGTTTTAATTTTTAAAGCTTTCGTCTTACAGAATCTCCTCACTTCTTTTGACTTCTTGAAAAAAATTTAGTCGAGAGTTATCCAAAATATGTGAAAACTGAAATTTTGGTGGACTGTCGATATTCCAGACAAAATAATTCCAGATGAAATCGTCCAAAAAATAATCCAAGGCAAAAATTTATCCTTGACTCGCTGTTTAAGGACTTCGTTAGGAGTTACATGCGCGTCACCGCTAAATTAGCTCTTTTTGGATAGAAATTATCATCTGTTGGCAAGCTCGCACTATGTTGGCGCGATTGGAGCTGTCATTTTTTAATTTTGGAAGATAATGACTGGAATGATTTTGTCTGCCTATTTTTTGAAGAAATTTTTGTGAAAATGTTCAAAATGATTTTGTTTGGCATGTTGTCCGCTGGCGACAGAAATTTAAACTGGTAGATTTTATGACATAGATATGTCAAAACTATTTGATTAATTAGTTGAACAACAAATGGTGAATTGCAACCAAGCACCAAACTTTTTCCCGTGAACAAATTTGTTCACATAATTCAGCACCTAGTAATTGATGTTATGTATGGGTCCAGTTCACGAGCATTACTGTTGTTTTTTTTTTGTTTGCGCCCCTGTGTAAAGGTCCATTTTAAGCATCATGGATCTGTCAATAGTGTTTTAAGTCTCATACACGCCGTTAAACCTTTTTTGAATTTTTTTTTACAATGTTGCCTCCGGTTTTTTTTTGGCGATTCAGTTTCTATTGTTTGTTCCAAGGCCATATAAATGCGTATTTAAATGCTATTTACGGAAGGTTAAACTATTTAAAATTAATCAAACTTTAATATGTCGATTTTTTTGGACTCTTGGATATTTTATTTATTGTAATTTGTTACTATATAGGCGTTGTTTCTATTTTGTTTTTAGAATAATAACAATGCTATGCAAATTAAAAACCGCTGTCATTGAAACCTCAATTTCTGCATAATGCCTACAATTTTTTTAAAGAGTTTTGGTGTGTTATTCAAAATAAACGTCACCAAATGTGTCGTTTATTTTAAATTCAATCCGAGTTTCTATCACTGCGATAAGCAAGTGTATTGCTCCGGTTACTAGACTCCTCCGCAAACACTTTGATTGAAAAGTTCGCACGTGAAAGTTACTATTTTCAACTTGCTTCATAATAAATTCAAATCAATCAATTATTCAGCGCATCTGGCGTAGAGGTAACACTTCTGCTCGAAACGAGAAGGCTTGTAGCTCCAATCCGGCCGGGACCTGTTTTTTAAAACAAACTCAAAGTTTTCTGCTTTTTCGAACTATCGTCCGTCTTCATATTGCTCCAATGGATGAGCGAAAGTTTCCTATGCGTATGATTCTTTTGAGGGTGTAGTTTCATATTTATTTTAAGTTTTTGATACTTTTCTTGGAAACTTTTTGGGCTCAATGGGTGTCTGCTCAAAAAAGGTAGACTTTCTTGTTGCTTCGCTGGTTTCGTTTCCATGCAAATTTAACTATCGATTGACTTGTTGAAGATATAGGTTTTTTCAACATTTTCGAAAAAAAATAACTAACAAGGCTATGGAAGTTAAAAGCCAGTGTCATTAAAAACCATAACTTCTACATAATGATTACAATTGTTTTAGAATTTTGATCTTTTATTTAAAATAAACTTCGTCAAATGTGAAGTTTATTTTAAATTGATTCCGATTTTTTTATCCTTGCGATAAGCAAGCGTATTGCGCAGGGTACTAGGCTCCCCCCTATAACAACTTTCACGTGCGAACTCTAAAGATTCCGCACGTGAAAGTTACGTAGTTCAACTTGCTTCATAATAATTCAAATCAATCAATCATTCAGGGCATCTGGCGTAGAGGTAACGCACCTGCTCGAGACGAGAAGGCTTCTGGCTAGAATCCGGCGGGGACCTGTTTTTAAAACAAATTAAAAGTTTTTTCTTTTTTTGAACTATCGTCCGTCTTTATTTAGCATTGATGGATGAGCGAAAGTTTACTATGCGTAAGAGTCTTTTGAGGGTGTTGTTGTCATGAAAACTCTTTGTGCTCAATGGTTGTCTGCTCAAAAAATGTGGACTTCCTTGCCGCTTCGTTAGTTTCGTTTCGATGCTAATTTAACTTTCGATTGTCTTTTAAACATTTGTTTTTGAAAGGCGAACTATATACGTGAATTGACACTAACATAAAGTTTTTGGAAGATCTAGGTTTTCTCTACATTTTCAAAAAAAAAAATCTCAGCGGGTATTGTGACAATTTCTGTCTGCTATTTTGTCGTGCTATGTTTGTCTTGTACTGCAAATAATGAGTGTTTCTGCTTCGCTTGCGTCAAAATTCATCTTGGTCTTTTGTCATCAATTGCAATTGAAGCTATTGTCATGCACAGTTAGCGTTTACCTAATTTTAATGTGTAAAGCAAAACGACTCCTTTTCTTAGATTTTGAAAGTTATATATGTCAAATAGAACTTGAATAATTATTTAAATTTTCGAAAGCAAGTGCTTTGCAACAGGGCAGCAGACTTGTTCCTGTCCACAGCATTGTTCACAGATTTCAGCTTTTAC